TATCACTTCTTTAAAAATCAATAAATCTAGGCTGGGCATGGTGGCTCACACCTGTAATCCCAGCATTTTGGGAGGCCGAGGCAGGTGGATCACTTGAGGTCAGGAGTTTGAGACTAGCCTTGCCAATATAGTGAAACCCTGTCTCTACTAAAAATACAAAAATTAGCCAGGCATGGTGCTGTGTGCCTGTAGTTCCCTCTACTCGGGAGACTGAGGCAGGAGAATTGCTTGAACCTGGGAGGTGGAGGTTGCAGTGAGCTGAAATCGTGCCATTGCACTCCAACCTGGACAACAGAGAGAGACTCTGTCTCAAAAAAAGAAAAAAAAATTAACAAATCTAAAATATTACATGTAATGTATTATCTCTTCTGACAATTGTTCAACAAATGTATTTTTTTTTTTTTTTTTTTTTTTAATTTAATGTGCTGTTGTTTTATTTTTTTTTTATTTATCAACAAATGTATTTTATGGTATTTTTAAAAAATCCAATAAAAGTTCATGCATTACACTTGATTGTTAGGTTTTCTTCAGTTCAGAGATTCTCACCTTGGCCACATTTTAGAATCAGTCGGTCAGGTAGCCTTAAGAAATATGGGCTCCATCCCTAGAGATCTTAATTTAACTGTTTTGGGTGTGGTCTGACCATTGGGTTTTAAAAATCTTCCTCAGACATTTCTAAAATTCATCAAAATTTGAGAAAAACAGCTTTAGTCTCTTTTAGTCTACAACAGTTTCCCTTTTTTACTTTGACAATGATCCAAACTTACGTGATGCACTAAGTCCTTATCTACTTGGCCTAAGAACTTTGACTTCCCTCTCCATCCAAGTCTTTTTCAGCTGCTTCTGGGAGTCCTTGGGATTGGTGGTGGTGCACTTGTAGTGTGAATCATTCCTTGTTCCAGCCTTTTTTTTTTTTTTTTTAATCATTACCTTGCTCCAGGCTAATCAGCACCACTTGGCCCATTGTTCAAATTGCTGTGTTTCCTGGATCATGATTTTCCTAGGGTCTATGTAGAACTACCATCAATGGACCTTACT